ATATATATATATATATATATATATCTTTTTCTCAGTTTTTTTAATCTCTTTTTGTTGTGGGTGTTTCTGCTTAATATTTTCGGGTGCACCAAAGCAGCATGTCAGTTCACCACAGACAAAAAGGTAATAACTCTTTAAAATCATTGTTTTACTACAAAACAAAAAAAGGAGCCACAGAGCTCACCAACGTGGCTTAAACACGAAAAAAAAAAAGTATAACCATGATGATTAAAAAAAACAAGCTCTGGCAAACATTTGACAGTGTTAAAAACTCAACAATGCATGTCTAAAACATAACAGTGTTGGGAAAAAATAGAGTCATGAATATATATTATGTTCAATGATATATAAAGTCATTAAATTGTTAAAATGCAGACTATGTCATGACATATAGCATAACAGTGATACTTGAGTCTTTATGGTGTTTCTTTATTGCATAATATAATATTGTGTTATTAACACTAATGCAGCTTTGTTGCGTCAACCTGCACTGAATCAACGCTTCTTCTACACAACATGCAGTCACATTAATACTCGTACAGCAGAAACTACGCAATATATTTACAATTGAATTAAAACAATTAAAGAAAAGTCAGGCTCCTTGAATTTAAAACCCTAACATCCGGTGATCGCGTGGTTCTGACGCCCCGCCCTCACTGTTTGTAAACACTGCTTCACAATGACAGACGCTACGACGGCGGAAAGCGATTATATATAAAAACAAGACATCTTTATTCAACGGTGCAGCTTTAGAATAAAAATGGCAAACTGTTAGCCTGCTAGGTCGATCCCAGTCATTTCGCCACATGCATACAAACGTTTAATAATCACCGGTACAGTAGCTTTGAAGCTAAGCTAACAGCTAAGCGTCACCCGGGACTGCAACAATGACTGACTGATCAGTTCAGTTTAGGGCTGCTTTATTTGCATTAGCACACGCTGTGTGTAATAAGCATGCTGGGTAATATTTACTACCAGTTAATACCTTGTGAGATAGTCACGTGAACCTCGATATTAGCGTTGGCAGAGTGTCTGAGCGATGAATGAAACCAACAGATAGAAAGCCGGGCTGCAGCTGTCAAGCTAGCGGTTGTTGTCGTGAGGCTAACGGCAACTAACGTTAACTAACGTAAGCTAACGTTTTCTGGTGATATTTTTACGTTACGCTTTTCCTCCGTTCATAGGGGGCATTGATCAAAATGACTGCGGGGCTTTTTACCTGTCGTGATGCAGGTTGACGGCCGCTTCCATCGGGCAGAAGAAGGCGGAGTGTTTATTACAAATCCAAATTTTTTTTTCCACGACTGTTAACGCTGCACTTCCACCGAAAGACCACTGTGCACAACTCCGCAATGAAATGGCGCCTTCCCGCTTCCGCTTGACGCTATATAAACCCACGACGTGGCAGTGACGCGTATTTCCGGTCAAGTTAGGGGTGACTCTGCGCTCCTATTGGCTGCGACCACACGTCTGTCAAACTAGGCACACACGCCAGGCACCTCCCTGGTTCCGTACATGTTGTAGTCTGCCATGTTTGAAAACAATGGATTTATTCAGGTTTTAGATTTTGGCTTCGAAGTATTCATAATTACGGCTTTACTTTTGACAGACACACGTCATTCTGTCTGCAGGGAATGATGTCATGTGTTATGTTATCTGCAGTGTCTGGGGTTGCTGGTGCAGGTCCTCTCTGCTACAGAAAAGCCTTCAGACTTACATTGTTGGTAAATTGTCGTTTGTATGGAGATTATGAAAATACTAACCGTTGTTTTGGCATGGAATATGTGGGCAATCATTTAGCTGGACATCCCTTTATGTGATATGCCGATAGACATATATGAGCTTTATATTTCAGGCTTTTAAACTGAGAGATTCTGTATTTAAAGCAACACTTCCCACAAGCTGCCACCAGGAACCCCCACAGCTGTTTGAGCCATGCACTTTAGAAGTAGCTGTCATGTTCTGACAGTAATGCAGAGATAAGCTATCAAGAAAGACCCTTTGACAATGTACATGTCCTCTGGTGCAGGTCACAGTATTTAAAGGAACACTCCAGGGACGTATTACTGTACCCCCATAAAGCTGGAAGACTCACAAGATTCAGTGTTATTACAAATTTTGAGTTTCAAGCCCAAACTGAGATTACCCTCTCAAACTCTGGAGAACTCCCTTTAAGTGCAAACAGAATCAAACAAAGGGTAATATTGGAATTGTAAAAAAAAGAACAAAAAACAGCAACTTCAGAATAAAAAAAAAGAAAAATCAAATAAAGGCGGAAACAAATCAACAATCACCTGCAACAACTTGCAGTACATGAAAACAATATTTCTCCATAAATTGAAATTCACTCAGAGTAGATCTGAAAAGCATTATTTTGCTACAAAGAGGTTGTGAATAAGTAAAGAATGATCAACACAAGGGAAAGTACAGCAAGAATAATACAAAGACAAATATGACAATAAAATATACAACCAGATCATTTAGAAACACTCATCTTAAATACTGCAAAAATAAAACACCTCTATTCTATCTGACTGAACTCTTCTACATCTATATTTGCAAAGTGTATAAAGCAGTAGAGTGTGTGATCCTCTCTTCACATAGGAGCTGGTTTGGAAATATGATGATAAATATCATGGAATGATTCAAATGTTTCAACTGTCATATCATTTCTACCATGGAAGCTATCCCTTAAATACTGTATCTCTAGTTGTGGACCATTGTGGGCAATGTTGACCCTTTAAGTCTGGACTTTCAACCAGCAACCTTCCTGTAACTCGACTGCTTCTCGGGCCTTTAGGCCTCTACATTGCATTACAGTCATTACAGTCATTTAGCAGACGCTTTTATCCAAGGCGACTTACAATTCAAATTCTATCACATTCATACACCGTAGGCTATGGGAGCAATTTTTGGGGTTAAGTGTCTTGGTCATGGACACATCGACATGCGACTAGCGGAGCTGGAATCGAACCGCCGATTCAAGGACGGCCCTGCTCGCCACTTAGCCACGGTCACCCAGTGTGTCACCCAGAGTGTATCAGTGTGTGTCATTCGTCTCCTCTTCTTTACGGTGAAAGCCACATTCTGCTTTTTTCACCAGATCAGCATAAAGACCGCCTTCCTGCATCAGCTCCTCATGGCTGCCCTCCTCCTTTATAATCCCGTCGCTGAGGACAACTATATGGTCGGCCTTCTCTACGACATTCATCTTGTTGGATATCAGCAGCACGGAGTAGTTGTTGGTTTGGTATAGCAATTCTTGGTGGACCTGTTGAGTACAGATATGACTTGATGTCACATGTGGATTACAGGAGTAAATAATTAGCAAAATGTGAGAAACTCAGAAGAATAACCTACCTGATGTTCATTCTCTGCGTCCAAGTCACTGGTGGCGTTGTCAAGGATCAGGATTTTAGGATGTCGGATCAAAGCTCTGGCAATGGCAATGCGCTGCTTCTGGCCTCCAGACACCTGGCCTCCCTTCTGCCCAGCATCTGTCCGACAGAAAGACATACTGTTGAGTTTATGGACATTTCTGGGTTGTTTTTGTGAGTTTTTTTGCATTCAGAAAAATCACAAGGCCAATAATCAAATCCATCTGCCCGTTCACTACTGTCAGTAGGGTTTTGCAGGGGTCACTAAGTTCAATTTCAGATTATTTAGTATCTTTATACTACCGCATAGAATGCAATTTATTGTATGTTTTACAATCATACCAGCCAAAAGTATGACGGAAAACCAGGAGGGATAATATTTGCTTTTGAATCACATTTTTTCAATAATAGAAAATAGATGGAAGGATCAGCCAATTAAAAATGATAAATGCATATAAGTCTTTAAGCTAAAACTTGAGACAGTGAGCTTCCTGCTGCTGTAGCTGGCAGTGACGATATTGAAGTCTTTTGTAAATTATAGTAAAGATATTTCAATGTTGTCCAAGGTGTTCATTTCTGGAAACTAAAGTCTATGGTTTTCAAGACCTGCAGATACCCTGGTAGCTAGACAAAGTTGAGTTTATATGAGACTTAAAAAACACAGTCCTCCCACTACTAAGTGCAAACATCTAAGTATGATAATCAAAACTAGAAAGCTGCACTCAGTAGAGGGCAGATCAACACAAGTGTATCAGACATGGTTTTCACTCGCATATCTAACACAACAGATATGTTTTAATCGATGCAGATTTATGCGCCAGCTCTGGTCAGGCGTGCGTCTCAGCTCCGTCTCACGAGCGTAACCACGACTTGAACCGTTTATTTAGGATTCGGGTCTATTTTTTTTTTTCCAGAGAAGGTCCTCGATCATGCAGCTGTAACTGGCCACACGACATATGCTCTTTGGTGCAGCAGAATGTGAGACTAGCCGTGGACAGACACAGGGGGGCACTCTCACTCACTGACACGCGTGAGTGATCGCATTCTCCAGGCTAAGATAATGAAAAACACATGTTATTCCCCCAGGAAGTAACAATGTGAAGAACCCCACTTTAGGATTCCTTCTGATAGATTGGGTTTGTGGATCGAACCTGTGTCGTAGCCACTTGACAGCTCCATGATGAAGTCGTGGGCACTCGCCAGCCTGGCAGCCGTGTGCATATCCTCATCAGAGGCATCCTCGCAGCCGTACTTGATGTTCTCCCGCACAGAGCGAGCAAACAGCAGGCAATCCTGGCTCACCACAGCAATCTATAAACAAACAGGATGAAGAGGACACGTCACAGCTGACTCTGAGAACGCTTTACAATGAGGACAACAGCAGAATACACCCGGGCAATGAGTGCTAGTAAGTGTCAATGCAACATTAAAGAGCTTTCAATGAACTGTGATTCACCTTCCTTATATCATCTCATTGTATTTTTATGGTATCAGCTGCAGAATTCACTTATTCACATCTTGAATTTTAGTCAATTTTTGTGGTACAACAACTGAAAACCTTTCAGTAACTCCCAAATGAAATGTCCTAAAAGGCTAAAAAGCTCCTTGTAGTCTTTCATGTTTTTGTTTGTTTTGTTTTGATTTATGAAATGTAAGTTATAACGTGCTGTTTTTCATGGGGACAAATTGATTTATCAGCGATTTAAACTTCTTTTATTTTCTTTAACATGATCAACTGAGATTTGATTGCTTTAGGACAACAGTTTAGCAGCTTATGAGGATCTTCTCTGCTACTTTGTTTGTTAGTCGTTCTGTCACCTAGTGGTCAAAAATCTCTTAATGCAGCTTTAAAGGAGCCCTGTGGCGTTTTCTTCTGAAATCAAAAATCAAAAACGTTAAAGTTATGTTTACATTCAGTGCTTCTCGCCAAAATGCATAGCGTTTCCTGTGTGCAAAACACAAACAACATGTGAACCCACTCCTAGAAGCTTCCTACTATTGTGCTCACTGCAAGTCAAATTAGAAGAAAACTACAATCCCTCGGAGAGTTCGAGGAGAAGATACAAAACTCGTGAAGACAGGAAACGGCGTCCGCCTCTTTCCTGTTTGTCAGCAAGTTGCTACAATAACAGATTTTTTAGTAAAACTACACAAAATGGCTAAATAACACCGATCAGGACAAAATGTGACACAAAGCGGCGAATCCTTCGACAAAAGCAAAGTTTGGATCAAACTGAAGGTTCAGGTAAAATATTCAAGTACAAAATAGAAAAAAGCAACCCACCTTGTCATGTAGGTACTGGTCTTTGTAGCATTGCAGTGGTTTCCCATCCAGTAGGATCTCCCCTGCTTGGGGCTGGTAAAACCTCTCCAGCAGCTTGACACAGGTGGACTTCCCTGATCTGTTGAGCCCCACAAGGGCCGTGACTTGGCCTGGCTTTATCTCCAGAGACACGTCCTGGTAGAAGACAGGAATAGGGTGAACAGGTAAAGAGTTGTGCATTTCAATCGCAAAAACACAATAAATGCACAGGAGATAAGAACACATACATACCTTGAGCACAATATTGCTTTCGTTTGTCGTGCCAGAATAGGAAAACGCAACGTTTTTGAATTGAATGCGTCCCTCAAGATTTTCGGGTGCCAAACAGCCATCTGGGGGTATTTGAGGTTTGCGTTCCAAATATTCAAAGATCTTCTCAGAGGCACCAATTGCCTTCTTCACCTCCGGGTAATAATGCATGACAGCCTGGAGGAGAGGTGGTAGAATGAGGTCATTTTATTTCAATTTGACGAAATTACTTTTTGAACAAAACATCAGCCACTTGCAATCCGGCCTTAGAGGAAACAAGTGCACGGACATAATAATATATTCAAGCTTATTCCCTTTATCTTGGCCTGTGGCTCACCTCAACAGCAGAGGCAAACTGCAGCTCATAGAGGACGAATGACACCAAGTCTCCACTGCTAACGTCCCCTCTGGTCACCAGGGTTCCTCCATAGTACAGAATACACACCTTCAGGGCCATGGTGGTCATCTGGGAGACAAAGGGTTACAAATGAAAAGAAATGCATTAAATAATATTCAATATTAGTTGTTTTTTCTCTAGGTTAACCCCCACTGGCTCACACTCACAGAATTACATGTGCTCAGAAATCATTGCAGACTTTATAATCCAGATCTGTATTGAACTCACGCTGTTCGCCCAGGTCGAGGCTGCATAAGCTAGTGATTCCTTTTTGTTCAGGGCGTAAGTGTCCTCCAGCCGCTGTCTGTACCTCTCTGTCTCACCGTCCTCGTTGGCAAAACTCCTCACTGTCTTCATGCAGGAGAAGGTCTCTGTGGCCACCTGGTTGGCCTTAGCCAGCGACTCCTGAACCTTTGCAGCCATGGTCTGAAACACGGATGCAAATGGAAAAAAACTGAATGAATTTGTGACAAACATGACGGATGGACACAGGCCATGATCATAGCTGCACTGGAAATATTTTGTCATGATGATGTCACATTGTGGAAGGTACAACAACTGTTTTTTAACAGTGTCCAGCGCCTGGGGGGATTTTTCCTTAAACTTGCATTAATTGATTTAATTGTCCATTTACAGAGCAACATTTGCTTCCATCCGTCTGGTGAGTGAAAGCTGTGTGAACCTCTTGAGGGAACTATCTGTCTGTCTTTAGCTGTTAAATGCTCCACGTTTAGGGAAGTTCCTCTTTACCTTGTGGAAGTTTCCAGTGAGCTCAGGTATGAACCAGATGATGGGCAGTCCCATGCAGGTGAGCAGGGTCATTTTCCAAGACTGGATCACCATGAAGTACAAGAGGAAGCCAAACCGAGCCGTGTACCACATCACAAGACTCAGTTTCTCACTCAGCACCTCGCTCATATCGTTGGTATCAGTGGTAACACGGGACACCAGTTCCCCTGAGAAAAGAGGAGTGCATTATTAGCCATGTCAAAGAAGTTACAGTTGAGGTATATGTTGTTAAAATTCTGCATATTCTGGATTTTCACCAGCCCACGCAAATTCTGTCAAGTATAAACTACGACAGCAAAAAAGGGTGATTGTAGATTTATAAAATAACTGAAGAGGCAGTGGAAGGGTGTAATATTCTCTTCCTGAGAACTTTCCAAGATTCACAAAATTAATACATTAACAAGCGAATTTACAAGAAAAAGATCACAAATTTGTCGTAACTGTACAAGGAAAAAACTCGGAAAAATAGTGGAGTGCAACACCATGTTAATGAAAAATAGAATAAAAGTACTCCACTATTTCTCCAAATTGGTGACTCTATAATCTGGCAAATTTATGATTTTTCTTGCGTAAATTTATTTTCTCAGAATATTGCCAAAAAAAATAAGTTGGCTCTATAAGTGAAAGGATAAAAGCAGGTTTATGATTTATTCACAATGACCTAGTGTACTGTACACAGTGCTCTTTCCTAGATGCCTGTTGAGTCCGTCATATGCACTGTTTTCACGTGATTTACCTGTCTTAGTGGCATCGAAGAAAGCAATCTCCTGCTTCAGCACAGCCTGGAAGACGGCTCCCTGCACCGAGGTGTGTACGAGGCTCATGGTGACGTTGTAAATGAGGTCGCCTACAAACTCAAGCACAGCACTGAAACCAGAGGGGGAGAAAGCAATCAGACCTTTTACTGAAGTAAAAGTAGTCATACCACAGTGTAGAAATACTCTGTTACAAGTCAATAGAAACAGAATAGAAACCCTTTTTATTGTCATATACATATACACATACACGAAATTTGACCTCTGCATTTGACCCATCCCTATATATAGGGAGCAGAGGACTGCCAATGACAGGCGCCCGGGGAGCCGGGGGTTCAGTGTCTTGCTCAGGGACACTACGACACGTGACACGTCCCAGTCGAGGATCGAACTGTTGACCCTGCCAGACAACCCTCTTAAGCCAGTGAGCCACAGTCGCCCCCGTGGCTCACTTTTTTTTTTTTTTTTTTTTTATTAATAGAAGTCTAGTCAAGTCTTGCATTCAAACAAAGTAAAAGTAATAGTTTAAGATATTTTTTACGACGGGGAACTAAACTGAAAGTTAAACTTATCTATACTGTTTCTGTTAATGGAGTCTGGTGGGTTTGAAGAGTTAAGATTGGATTTACTTTCAGTTCAGTTCCCGTCAGAAACGGCTGTCTGACTGCAAAATGAAGCTTGTTTTAGGTGAGCTTTTCTTTTAGGTGACTGAAGCACGTTTTGCCGCTGTCCCTGTCCACAGCACGACATTGCTTTGCTCTCATGCCGGTGCTCCTGTCTGTTTCTCCAAACGACTGACATCTACAGTAGGTGATACACTTTTGTCAACTGATAACTACCTCGCACAACTCTTTAAAGCACGTATGTCTCAGGGGGAGACTTAAGTCTGAGACTGCTGAGACTTATGTGTCAGCAGGATTGAGAAAAAGAAAAGGTGTCCATGCAACCATCTTCAGTAGACTTGACTACTGTAACGGTCTCTGATCTTCTGCTACATGATGAACCCTCCAGACCTCTCAGGTTGTCTGAGACAGGCCTGCTTTCTGTCCCCAGAGACAACAACAAACATGCAACAGTTTCTGTGCACAACATTTTTGTATTGATTTTATTCTGAGTTTTTAAATGACATTTAATTAAAAATATAAAATGCGTCTCTTCTGCACTTTGTCTCCATGTTTTTGATGTTGTAAAGAATTTCCTTGTTGCCGATATGTGCTAAATAAATGAACTTGCCTCGCCTCACTTTTTTTACAAATGTTACATTACCTGGCAATAGTCATCAGCGTCATGAAGATGATGGCCTCTGTGAATGCATCCGGTGCGTCTTCATTTGTGATCCAGTCAGCCACACGGCCAGTGTAATAAGGGATAGCCATCTCACCTGAGGTCAGAAGATCACACTATCACAACATGTATTTGGGGAGACACAACTGTCAAATCTAAAATATGAAGCGTGGTCTTTCCAAGCTTCAAAATGCTCAACTTTAACTTACAAGTCAACATCCGAAACGAATGTACAAACTGATTAAACTGACAAAGAGCCAGATGAACCTCAATGAGAAACACAGAAAGTAAATCTGTGAAGTCTTGGGAGGAGAAGTATCCGAGTATGTTTGAGCGGGATGGAAAATGACACCGCAGAGCATTTTCAACACCTCGATAAGTGACACATCAAGCTCACCAGACCTGGAGCTCAAAGCAACACGAGCGGGCAGCTCATCGGCACAATGAGGTGGAGGCTGCTAGACCCGTTGACAGGCCGATGAACTCCGCCATTTGCAAGGTTTACATTATCAAGCTGATGTTTAACTGCATAGAATCTCAATTACTCAGAATATAAGGTGACTAAAAATGGCAGCCATATTTTCAGTATCAGCAACCAAAAGTGTTGAGCTTTGAGTTGTGCTTGTAAAATGGCTCATCTCATAGCAGAGGTAAGTTTGGAATAAGCTGTACTCAATTCTAAACGGATTACTCTGAATCAACACCATCTACTTGGTGAGTGAAGCTGCAAACAACACAGCAAGAACTGCAGGATGTAACTCCCAAAACCTTGCAGTTTCATAAGAACACTTAAGTAAAGTTCCCGCTCAGTCTCCCTTACCATAAGAAGAAAGAATCACGAGAAACAGCACAGAAACAATGCGCCCGACATACGGCCGCATGTATCCCATCAGCCTCTTCAGAGACGCACTGGTGTCCTCTTTGGGCCCCTCTTTGGGCCCCTCAGAGAGGGCCCTCGTCAGCAGAGACGAGATGTATCGACCCCCGGAGAGCAAAAGAGACGACACATATCGACTCCAGTAGAGCCACGCCACTACCATCACAAGATAACCCTGTAACACCTGCAAGACAGATCACAGGTTCATTACACAAATCCAGAAGAATATGAAATGAAATGCTTCAAAATGATTCTGACAAATGTTCGGATAAAAAGGAAAGACAACATTTCTAAAATGGCGGCTTTCTGGATCTCCTCAGACTGGTCTGGTTTTGGTTTCAGTCTTGTTCCTGTTCCAGGCTCAACAACTTTATTACAAAAACAAACAAATAAAATATACTTGAAGTATCAAAAGTGAAAGTATTTGTTATGCAGCAGAATGCCCGTGTCAGTGTTATACTGTAAAGTATATTTGAATGCTGTAGCAGGTGGATTTTGAAAAGTACAATAATTCCCTCTGAAATGTAGTAGAAGTATAAATACACATGAACTGAAAAAACTCAGTAAGTACCTCAGAAATTGTACTTATTTATACTACAACTATGTGCTGCTAAGTGCCCTTGAGCAAAGCACTTTTGCCAGTTCCACATCATCAGTTTGGTGACACCCATGTTTGTTTTCCACTTCTTTTTGGGTACAGCACTTCTTAGCTTGTGATCTGGAAGTCCAGCATTTCAGACATTTTTTCTCCAGCACATAAACACACACAATGGTCCGGATGCCACAATGCATCATGGGCCCTGCTCTAGATCACTTACTATCACATACTTCATTTATTGTGATTGTACAACAGGGTTGTAGTCCCATTTGCTACAAAAGAAAAACACACCAAAAAAAATATCAATGTGATCCATACTGCAACTAAATTAGTTTCACCCACCCTCTCCCAGGAGTGCCACCCCCACAGTTCCTCCGCGTTGGGCATCCCCAGCACCCAGAGAAGAGTGGTGTACACCGGGAAGTGGAAGCAAAGGACCCCTAAGCTCTGCAGCCCCTCGAAGCTGCTCATCCACGGCAGTCCTCCTCCGGGGTAGGTGAGGGCGAGGAGGGCGAGGAGGCCACCCCTGGTCAACCCTCCTCCCCACAGGGTGAGGAACGGATGGGGGAGGAGGAGAGGCGAGAGCTGGACCAAGCGGATGGCGTTCACCACACACACATCCAGGCACACGAAGAGCAGGGGGGAGAAGGAGCTCATCTTCTGCAAAACAGGAAAGATGGATATGAATTGTTGGCAGAAACATGTAAAACACAAAACTAACTATAAAAGATAAGCTAATCATTTGCACTTGCATGTCTTGCATGGGGAGAATTTACTTTCACTTGCAGCAGACGTTATTCCGCTTTACTTTCATTTTCATCTACACGTCTCATTTCCTTGAAACGGTTTTGACAGCAAGCCAAAGAAAACAACACCCACAGAAACACCAGCGACACTAAAAAATACAGTATTACCATTCAGCATTATTAGCGTTAAGTCTAAATGTGCAACAATGGGCAACACGGTGCTACAGTAAGTACAGTAGCTTAGCCGAGTTTAGCTTGCCACTTAAATTCAACTTACGTTTCCTTTTCGACAAGCCCGGGTTGTATTCGTCGGTTTGTTATACGTTAAGTCTGACAACGTAAACCGACGACGTTATGTTTCCCCTAACAAACGTTAACGTTCGTAACCCGCTGCTCGTTCCGACGTCGACCGTGCTGATATGTCTGTCAAAGTGAAACCGAAAGTTACTGAAGTTATCGACTCTCCTTTTACAATGGAAAGTCCCTTTTACGTCTGCACACAATGGCGGACGAAGACAAACGAGGGATAACACACTTCGATTTAAGGAATAACGTTGATGTTTTCGACCCCTGCTTTCTTAAACTCTAGTAAAAAGAGAAAGTGTGTCGCACGTCCCACGGTGGTGATATGATAGACCTGGTGGGAACATGTGCCATTTATAAACAGTCCAACAGCGACACCATGTGACGAAATGATGGAACTGCAAGCTTTATGTGTGTATACCACATAATTATGTTCACGTAAATTAAATTACCTCCTTTATTTTATTGATGGGTTTAGGTATTACAGGTGAATTTGTAATGTTTTTTTAAAAGTCTTCTTTTTATGATTTTTAAGCTGCCTGCTGCAGAAAAAAAGTGTATTTTTATGGTTTATTAAAGATCTGAACTGAACAGTATAGAGAGTTGTTTTAATTGATTTTCCAATTTCTTTTGTTTTAACCAAGGTTTCATTATGTCTTTGTTTCAGTCCTCCAGTTTTGTTTCGGTCTGTTTGTTTATTATTATGCAAACATACAGTATCTATATGCATATTTCCATTTTGATATAATTTAAAATGAAAACAGGTTAATTAACCCCTAATGTAAGCTTATTTTTGTCCACAGTTTGTTGCTGTTAGACTTGTCTGTTTTTCCTGGACATTTTTTTTGTTTGGTAAAGTTTTATAAAGTTATATCTATCTGTCTTTCTATCGATGTTAAATTAATATTGTTCAACATTTTTGGGCCAAACCATCACTCATCAGGCCGGTCCAATTAGTACTACTCTATAGTAGTCTATAGAACAGTAAGGCATAAGTATAGGCATATCTATATTTTTACTTTTGGATCTACAGCTGGAATTTAAATAAAAACTTAATGTGTTGTGACATTAAACTGTGAGGGTACCCTGGGGCATTTGCTGTTTGGACACGATATGTATACATGCTGTATGCCTTTTTTATTAAAGACATTTGATATATAATAGTAGGAAAAGTACTAGTATAAATAATAAAATGAATAATGATTGGATTCCATATTGAGTTTCTAGTTAGTGATTCACATTCCTTTACAAAGTTGCCTGCTTTTCTCAGTTGGTTATTCTTGCCTTGTGTTAAGACAAAGAAACCCAACAGAAACGTTGAACTCCCAGATTGTTTCCTTCCTTCCCCTTTGCTTTCATGTTTGTAGGATGAGAAGAGCAAAGCTATTTCTTTCTTTACTGTTTTTTTACGCCCGTTTTACCCCCCCCCCCCCCCCCCCATCATATATCACTTATAATTAGAACACGTGTCCTTTCATGTATTTTAAAAACATAACGTACATTTTTGACCGATTAAACTGTTTATTTACACAGCCTGTGTTTAGTGTCCAGACAAATAGAAAGAGGCTCAATATTGTTTGTGTGGATGAATTAATATGTAGTATTTTACAGTTGTGGTTGATCGACATGAAGCTAAATTGAACTATCTTGTGTCAAATCTTAATCTTTATTTTAATTAGAATACCTAACTGTAGCTTATAGTCGCGCCACCTCAATGGATGCATCAGTATTACAGTCTAATGATATAATATGTTATAATATGTCAGTCACATCGGGTATGCTTTCTGCTCAACAAGTACTTTTACTTTAAACACTTTGCATACATTCTGAGTTCTGTATTTTTACATTAATGTATTAATACTTTTAAGTAAAGGATCTGGATACTTCTTCTGATGATGATATTAGTAAAACCCTGACAGCAGTCACTCAGCATAATCAGTACATTTATTCAAGTAGCATTTTGAATATAGCACTTTTACTTGTAATTGAGTATTTTTAGATTGATGTATTGATACATTTATTCAGTAAAGGATCTTCCACCGCGATGATAATGAAGAATGTACGACAGCAGCTGTTCTGTATAATGGGTGCTTTTACTTGTGGTACTTTTAGCACATTTACACTTTGTAAAATTCAGACAAAGACTTTTACTTGGAGGCCTACACAAAAGTTACATATCTGTAGTACATGCTACATCACAATACTTGCTCTAACACTGCAAAACAAACAACACATTATTAATATTAATGTTATTGTTGTTCTTACTATCACAATTGTTGTTGTTGTTGTTGTGTGACGGTATTTATTTTCTTTATTCTATTTAGAACACGAACTTGCTATTTCTGCATTGAAGGCCAGTGCGCATGCTCAGACATGGCAGCTGCCAGTGCGGGGAAGCTCCGCAGTTCCGCCAGTTAAAGACATTTAGCAAAATAAAACGTGAGCTAACCGGAGCGAACCGAGCTGACAGATGTTCGCCTCTCGCTGTCGGAGCCGTGGCGGAGTGAACAGCCGGCCGCGGGGGAACTTGTGATCTGCTCTGGATGGAACCGACGGGTCTACGAGACGTCTTCAGATGTATAACACTGTGTGAGCAGAGCCGAAACGATGCGTCCTTTTTAAAGGGTTGTTTGTCGAAGTTTAGCATGCAAGAAGAGTTAGACTTAGCTTACGGTGCACATTAAGTTAAATAGTAATAATGATAAGACTAAATATCGCTATAAACACCGTTACAGTCGTTTCTACTTACCCTGCTCTGTGACTGTCAGGCCTGCAACGCCTCCTTCTACCTCAGCTACTGAAACATCTGGATTGAGACGCATGGCTTTGTTGTCTATCTTTATGCATGAGCGGTGTTTTTAGATCGACTGGACAAACAGGCTTTAAAAATAAGTTTAAAAAGCATGTCATTTTTGTTTTGCTTGATGCAAAGACTAACAACCTGGTTCTTGTGTTCTAGCCATTGCAGCCATGGAGGATGTTGGTCTCCATCCCAAACCCACCAATGACCCCCCTGTTCACAGACCCACAGTCACTGAGACTTTCGGGCGGCACCACATGCCTCCAGGTGTGTATGAGTGTCTCTGTAAAGAAACATAGCGGTTATTAACGCGTCTTAACAAGAAAGCGTGTGTGTGTGTGTGTGTGTGTGTGTGTGTGTGTGTGTGTGTGTGTGCTGTTTCATCCAGAACATCTGCACGTCACTGATGCCAGCAGGAAATCTGACATGCACAAAGATGGACCATCCAAAAAGAGGTCCCTCTCGGTAATGACAGAGCCACAGATGGTTCCCCAGTTCCCTCTGCTGATCCAGGGTCCTCTGGGTGCTGACACCAGTAAGTAACAGCTGTTGCTGCTGTAACTGTAAACTGTTACCAGGCGTGTTTGAATTTTGTGAATGCTAGCTTACATCCTGTAAAAGCATAATATAATATTTTTAGCTTTTTTTACACATTACTACCACAAATCCACTTGCAGAAGTGTGAATTCCACCTAGACTGACCCCTGCCATTAACCTGTTCATGTTTTCATGATGCATACCGTTAACATGATTTTGGCATTGTGTGTATTGTATATATTTTGGATTTGCACCTTATTGTTATTGATATCTTGCATTCTTTCATTTTTTTCTACTGCAACTGCTGCACAGCAATTCCCCTTGTTATGAATAATGTTTTATCTTTTCTTATATAATCTTGAGCCTCAATGAGGCCTATTTTAAGTTAACCTAAAGAAAAGATAACTACACAGATTATGATAAACATGTACCAATGTCACAATAACTGGGATAGATGCTGTTAATGTATTTGTAATATATATAAATATTATCCAGCTTGTTTTCATTTAATGCAAGTACAGCACAAACAGCTTTCTTGCAATGACGTTGATATTGTAATTATCTTACAGTATCTAGCGTTATTTGATGGAATGTGTCATTTCATATTCTCCACAAATACGTGTACAACAAAGTCTTATTTTATATATTGCAATCATGAGATGGGTGTCCTGTATTTCTGCAGGCTGTTGCAGTTCCTAACCATCATTTTGTTTTTAATAAACCAAACATATCATTTCCAACAAAGTATTTTAATATTGAAGAACTTTTTTTTTGTTTGTTTTTTTCAGTGCTCCTTAATACAGCTGCCAAAAATGTAAACACTAGTATGGATAAGGCCGGGAATGGAAGGAAAAAGCCCAAAGTCAAAGTGGGAGATCCATCAAAGTGGAAGCAAAACAAGCAGAAACAGCTGAGGATGGAGGGTAAAGCCTACGTGAGCAAACGAAAGAAAGACGGCGAGGTTGTGACAAAACATCCGAGAGCAATCGGACCGAGGTGCACCTCGAACGCATGCAAGAAGGCCTCGAACCGCCTTTGTAACGAGATGGACGAGGAGGCCCGGGAGAAAGTGTTTGACGATTTCTGGCAGCGCATGAACTGGGCTCAGAGAAAACTGTACGTAGCAGAACAAGTGGACCGCGACCCCGTGGAAAGATCTCGGGCGGTGGGATCGCAGTCGAGGAGGTCAGTTTCCCTCCGTTATCACTTGATGGTGGACGGCAAAAGGAAACAAGTGTGTAAAAACATGTTCCTGTCCACTCTGGGGATAGGAGAGTGGTCCGTGCTCAACTGGACGCAGCAAGGAGCAACAACAACAACAATGACAGACTCAAATGAACACAAGTTAGAAAAGAGGCGGGCTGTCCCTCAGTGTGCACAACAGAACCCTGCTTCTTCTATCGTTTATAAAACTGCAGATGTTAACCCGGGTGAGTGTCAGCTACTTACTAAAGAAAGCTGTGAGGCTGCAACTTCCGCACTACGTGATTTGATGCTTTTTTTCTGGTATACGTCATTGTAAATTGATTGCTTTGGAGGTATAACTGCTAGTTGGAAAAAACAAACTGTGTAACTGTCTGTTACACATTTAAAAAAATATTTTAGAAAATATTAATAGTCATTTAACTGGAAAACTAATCAATGGATCATTTGAGAATGAAAATAATTGTTAGCTGCAGCCCTGCATAGTGCATTTATGTAATAACGTTTGTAAGTACCATTATTTTCCATGTTTTTTTGCCGTTACACTAAAGTTTATTACAGTAATACCTCATACGTGTTCATGTCATTTCCCCTGTTTTTGCAGAGCGAGTGAACGCCACTGACAAAGACAAAGACAGGCCTCCAGAACCAGAGGGGTCGGCCAGGAAGAAATCCAGAGTTGCCAAGCCGCTGACATGGAAGCAAAATCGACAGAAGCAACTCAGGATGGAAGGGAAACCGTACGTCAGCAAATGTAAGAAAGACGGCTCGACCACGACTAAAGGTCAGAGGACAATGGGGTCAAGATGCACGTCCAGCTCTTGCAGAAGGGCATCCAACCGCTTCTGTGCCGACTTCAGCGACGAAACCAGGAACGAGCTGTTCACTGGGTTCTGGCAGCGCATGAACTGGGCTCAGAGGAAGATCTACGTGTCCGGATTAGTCGACTGCGACCCGGTGGAAAGAACCCGAGCGCCGTGGACTCAGTCGAGAAGGTTGGTCTCGATGCGGTATCATTTGATAGCCGACGGTAACAGGAAACAGGTTTGCAAAAAGATGTTCCTCTCCACTTTGGGGATTGGCGAGTGGTCAGTGCTCAACTGGGCACAGAATGCATCTCAGCAGGACGATTCAGAGGAATCCACCAAGAAGCAAACGCAGAGGAAGTCCCGTAAAGCCTCCGAGCATGTAGTCCTGAATGAGTTCCTCGAGGGTTTGCCCAAAGTTCCCTCATACTGTTGCGGCACGTCCGTCTCCAAGCTGTATCTGGAGCCGGTCTTCTCGAACATGTCCGAGGTGTACAGGCACTACTACAACCACTGCTCGGAGAGGAAGACGACGGCGCTCTCTCGGCAGGTTTTCTGCGCTGTATTTAAAAAGATGGACTTGGGACTGTGTGACCCAAAGAGGGATCAAGGGTGCTCCTTCGGTGCAACCGGGAATTTGTTTAATGAGCTTTGGGAGGAGTACTGCTTGGAAAGAGGAGCTCCAGGGCCTCAACCAGAGAAAGCGGGTAACCAGTAGAGAGGGATCAAAGGAGTTCATTGCTCCTTGTTGGTTACTTCATTACTTACAACATACGTTGTGGAGAGTTGAATTCCAAAAAGACTTAATGATCTTGACTTTCATTCAATCCTGTTAAGCACAGGCTCACACTGTCTGAAGCAGTTCAGTCTTCATGCAGCTGAGCAGCTGTTTCCCTGAAGAGGAATTATTTAAACACTACAATTATCTTTGTTTTTTTACAGTGGAGAAAGCTTTGTTGTTCCTTGAGATGTCAGTTCTCATGAGATTCTTTTGTCAAGCATCATTGTTAGTTCAACGCTAAAACAAAAATGTTTCATAATGTGCGTAAAAATCTGTCGATCTACTGTTTGTTATTTCAATTTCAAGTGTCATGTGAAGGGTCAAAGTCAAACGCCTTAAAGGACTTGAAACACTGCAAACTGATTAAGTTATTGGTTCTTATTTATTTCACTCTGTGCTTGACAAAGAGCCATTTGGGCCCGAAGTGCTCTATTTTCTTTTGTGGATCGAATATGAACAACAGAAGCGGTTTACAGAGTCATTTTAGATGCAGAGAACTCACAGCCAAGTTTTGGTTTTGTTTTGACTCTGGACAAAACAGAGTCTTTGTAAAGGTCAAATTCAAACCACGCCGTTCCCCCCACACCCTGTAGCTTTTTACACATTAAACTAACGGCTCCTCTAACAGCTCACATGCCCCATACTGTGTGTTTTCAACTTGAGACACAGTACGGGCTACAAATACGCACACACACTCACACACGCTCATACAGTCATCACCCTCCTATTCTTCTCCACACAGTGGCAGGAAGTTGTCCAGATATCCGCAGGGCCTCTGCACAAAAAAAAAAGAGCGAGTGAACAAAGTGGGCTGGCGTGGTGGTGGCGGTGTTGGAAGGTGTTGGTGCGAGCGGTGATGGGATCGTGCAACTTTACTCAGAGTTCATGGTGAGCAGCGGGACTACAGCGACACCACAGAGCTACAGATTAAGTGTGAAACACTGTGTCGCAGCGGCAGCTCCCGGAGATCAGAGGCAGGTTTACAGAACAGCTGGACTGGACTGCTGGTTCCTCTGAGCAGAGGAGAGAGAGGTGAACAACCTGAAGATGTTGGCTCTGAGGCTGTTTGTTCTGTTGGGACTGACCTGGACGTGTCAAGGTGAGGCTGCCGGCCCGATTCTCCACAGATTGATCTTTCTTTCGTACAAACGCGAAACACTTCACCTGTTCAAAGTGTAGTGAAACTGCATCCTGTGGCTGTAGACTAATTATTGTAGCTGGACCTAATTATTAAGGTTTCTAAGGAGTGATGTGTAGCCTCAGGCCATGTGGTTTATAATATAATATTATGGGTCATTGTAGATATGAATTTAACCTTTTGTAATATCTGTTCAAAATCTGTTCAGAACAAAGGGAAAAGCATTTTTTTATTATTATTATATTCAAATTCATATCCCTCCTGCACCAGGAAAGCTCTCTTTGCTGATAAAGCTAAACAAAAGTATTAAACACCAAACATGTCTAATTTCAGCTCTATTGTTCATGCATTTTTTTTTTTTTTTTTTTTTTGCTGCTATGAATTCATGTTCCCACACACACCTGCCAAGCCCATTGTCCAACTCCATCACATTCCTCGTTGCCACAGTGGCGACCTTCAACCTTTATCGAGTCCCGGCCCACTCCATTTCCTGTTGCTATTCGCCTCTCCTGGAAACTTCCTGTTTATGTCGGGCCCATTTCCTGTTTCCCTTTAACGGCCCGTATCAGGACCCACCTTTCATGGCTTGACCTGCATTGTTATGAATAGTTAGCTAATGCTCTGAGACAATGAGTGGTTTGAATGTGTGGGTGAGTCGGCAAGACCTAATGAAATAATACACTCAATGTGTTTGCCAACTGTTCACATACATGTGAATATGGAAGGGATGTTTGCCGTTAAACAGATCACAATTTATGTGCAACCTTGTGACCCTTTTTTCGTCCTTATGTGCGCTTGTCCCCACAGCTGCGTCTGCTGATCCGTGGGGTCAGTGTCCAGTCAAAAGAAAGTGTAAGGACAAGTTTGGAGACGGGTCATGTGACAAAGATTGTACGGAGCCCGAGTGTCTCAGAGACGGCTTCGACTGCCTGAAGGACAGGGGCCACTGCAAGTAAAACACTTTTGTGTTCATTCTCATCGCCATCGACACATAAAAAAGCTTTCTTAGCTTCATAGTGAATGTTGTGAATTAAATCATTTCATGTTTCCATTGGCTTACTCAAAACCAGTTATAGTTGTCCTTTTGAGTTGTTGTATGCTGGTTTAGGTCTTGTTTCCATCGATTATATTTTTCATCGATTTTTACTGATTTGTATTCATATTTACAACTTTTTAAACAAATCACAAATCAATTTAGGTTTCGGGATGTTTTTTATGCCAGACAGACTCAGCCTCATGCTTATTATCATCACTTACTATTGTCATTAACCAGCACACATGTGCAAAGGAGAATCAAATTGTGAAATACATAAACTTTTTCTTTGGTATCAAGGTGCAGGCAACATGGTAGTATCTATACGAGGAGTTGTCTCAGTAATTGTACTCTGTGCATACAATAAATCCTTTCCTACTCTGAGAATGAAACTTCATTCTTGGCTTTGAAAATAGTACATTTACAGCCAAATACCACATCTTATGGTCTTGGTTGAAAGCTCTGGTGAGAAAAAGAAGATGGTAAATTGACCTTGAGGGGATTTTTGCCAAATCTCTTATTCTGTCTCTTTACATCTCTTCATTCCTCTCCATCATGACTCTCAGTCCGGGCCACATCCAGTACTGCCGCGACCACTACGCCAACTCCCACTGCGAGCAGGGATGCGACAGCGCCGCCTGTGGATGGGACGGCAGCGACTGCTTCACACACCAGAGCCCCCTGTGGGCCAAAGGCACCCTGGTCCTTCACGCCAGCCTCCCACAACAACGTGGAGCCTTCTCCAACAGCTCCCTGCTCTGGGCGCTCAGTGTCCTTCTCCAGTCGCCGCTCAGACTGAGAGGGTCCGCTCCTCTCTCCACTGACAGGAACTTGTTTGACTTCGACGTCCAGCAGCTCGCCAACCTGCTGGCTCAGGCGTCTGCGGCTGACTCGAATGGGTAGGTGCTGAGTGAACTGTGAAAAATAGTGAGTATCGTTGGAAACAACATACTTTTGAACCATGGGAAACTCCAAGTTCAGTAAGACCGTCTGAACAGGGAGACTGGTATAAATACTGATATAAATATCAATAACCATGTGTGTTAATCTCAGAATTGCATTTTGTTGATTTTCTTTGCTTTGTTTGGTAAGAAGGTGACATTTTTTTATGTCAAAAAATTGCCGTAATAGGTCTTTTTATGATATGGTTTTAATGATTTTAGATTTTATTCAGCCGACGTGTTCAGACAGAACCACCTGTAATGAAATGATGTAAGTGCTCTTTCCTACTGTTTCCCTTTCTCTCACTCTTTCCTAGATGCCTCCTTTTCCTCCAAGTGGACAACAGGCCGTGCTCCCGTCTGCTCTCTACCTGTTTCCCCTATGCCACCGAGGCGGCCAGTTTCCTGCGTGCCGTAATGTTGCTGAAGCCTGGCTTGTTCCCCACCCTCCCGGAGCTGAAGGCCGTCGTCAGTATTAGGGGTGTCCGAGAGGAAATAGGAAGCAGAGAGGAGGAAACGGTGAAAGAGGAAGTCAAAGGTATAGGCTCACAGGTCCTGTCTCCCACACACACACACACACACACACACATCCAGCTTTGACTGTCATTCAAACAAAACACTATAAAAGACCTTTCTGTTTCCAGTGTGTTGATGTTTGAGTTGTTCAAACATATACAATATGTCAGAGGCAGAGATGAATAAGAATGTATTTGTTGTATTTTTTGGACAGTTTAGGATCGGTGTGATTAACATGATAAGTGATAAGTATCTTGACATCACTTTTTCCTTAACAAAATCCATTTTCCGCTCTTCCTCTCACAGAGCCGAACCCTGCATGGCTATGGGCCGTGATTGCCGTAGCGATTGGCCTGCTGCTGGTGCTCGCCCTGGTGGCGTTCCTGGTGGTGAGGAGGGTGAGGCAGCAGCGGGCGCTAAGGGAAGGCGGTAACAGGGTGAGACACCGGTCCACGGTCACAGACAATGACCCCAAATCCAAGGCGGCCTTGGCGCCGCACGCAGCCAACCAAGAGCAGAGGGTCAGATCCAGCAGAGACAAAGAGAAGATCAGCTTGAGGAAAAAGAAGAAAGCGAAGGAGGCAGAGAAAAAGAGAAGGAGGGAACCGCTGGGGGAGGACGCCATTCGGATGCGGTGAGACACAAGCTGCTTTGAAAGGCGTGAGAGAGGATGTTTTGTCTGCTGGAGGGATGATGTCATGCAGACAAATATCAAACAATAGAGACGTGTGTAGTTTTCGAAAAGGCTGAATGGCACTTTTTCCTGCTAATCAGTTGGATATTACCTTTATCCTGTATTTTCTTCCTCACATACAGTATATATTGTGTATAGTTATGTTGTACTCAAAACAATTGAACGATAGTTACTGAACAGAAGCAGCAAAGTACTCATTAACTTTTGCTCCCAACGATTTGAACCTGCAACAGTTTATCATGAAGTCAATGCCAACCATTTCCTGGTTCCCACATCTCAAACTTAGATATTTGATGCTTATTCATATGTTATATAATTGCAAACAATTAGCTTTGGTTTTGTGACTGGTGCCATGATGTGTTTTTTTTTACTGTTGAGCAACATTTTTATTCTGAAGATTTAATGTTTAAGTGATTAATCTAAAAATATAATAAACAGATCAGTCGAGTCAGGAACCTTTGTTGCATGTCATGAATCCCTCTTTCCATTTCTTTCCTGTCCCTCTTTACTGTCATTCTATCAAATATAGTTTAGAAAAGCTTGTGAGTGACCACAGCTCACTTAGGTCTGTGAAACAATACTTATCTTTAAGCCCTGTCATGTTTCAGGATCCTGTTCCTCAAAGACTACCAACCCATGCATGTTTTAGGAAGGACATACTTCTTGTGTTTGGGTGTGTTGCAGAGCTCTCGGGTGACTCTTGATTACGATGGAAACCACAGCAGTTAACCTAATGCCTTGATCAAAACTGTACTTTTGGTTTCCAGACCCCTCAAAAGGGACCAGGATATAGGAAGCGACACAGACTTTACCCAGAGTTCAATGGAAGACATCAACGCGAGATGCTCCAGGCGACAAGAGGACACCTCCATCTGTGACCACAGGAGCCAGGAGCAGAAACACTACCGGGCTGGAGCCTCACAGCCCCGCAGACCTGTACAACGTAAGGTTCAACATGCATTCATTCATCTACTCACTCACTCATTCTTAGCTTTTTTTTACCATGTGCATTATACCACACTGTACATACATTCAAAAATACTTTTTTCTGATTGGCTGTCTGGCATCTGGGTTCAACCCCCGGCTCCTGATGTAAGTATGATGATTGTAGTAAAGTTTAAGTTACATAATGGGAGACGGCTCAAACATTTCTTAACAACAGATTAATCAGTGTTCACGGTTTAAACCGCAGGTAATGTTATAAATAATCACAAATACTCTAACAAACTTTAAACAACAACGTTTTAAACTTGCTTTGATGAACGAAATAATGCACTCTGAGGTGTCCTGATGTAGAAAATAATACACTCGGCTGAGGAAACACCACTCCTACTTCACCTCCACCTCCTCCATTCTTCTCATACGTTGTGTTTTACTTGTTGCATTATGGCTTTTAGGTCATTTAGTGGTTTCATTGGTCGAAATGTGCTGTGTGAATAACACTTCTTGATTTTATTGTTATTTGTCTGCTTAGCTAAAATCTTTTTTTATTTTTTTATTTTGTCGGACAAACGATTTGAAGATGTTCTTGACATATCGTCACGTACAATACTGAAATACAGCCTTTATTAACTGTCGAACAGGACTCATCATTACATACCGTACTGAGTATTTGTGTGAGTATTACAATTCTTACACTTGTCAGTTGGAGATCCATCTCAAATGTTTTTTATTCTCCCTCAGCTCCACCTAGAGGATGGGAGAGAAACGCCATTCCTCCTCCTCTACTCAGTCCTCCCCAGCAGGTCTGTCCATAGTTTTTGTTTCAAATGTTTTGTTCTTTTTAATTCATCCATGTTGAGGGGAGCCGGTGTTATTTAGGACTTTAACCCATTGGGGTTGTATTTTTTATTCTCCTTCATTGTGTTTTTTGTAGACCACACTGTTCATGGCTTAAACTGTTTAATATTTGGGTTTGAAATATTTTTTTTTTTATATATTTGTTTTATATATTCTTCACGGCTCTGTTGTGTTGGCAGTCGGCAGAGTGGTGTGGCCCGGATGGCTCCGTGGTTCTGATCCGAGCGGTGCGTAGCGGGCTGGACAGAGTGGTCTTGGAGCTGCTGCGAGCGGGAGTGCCGGTCAACAACACTGATCATACTGGTAATGCATCCGTGTCACAGTTACTATTATTAGTTTGATACCTCTGTCTGACTCAGCCCATAAACCTCAGTCAAATATAATTTACATGTAAAGCTTGGTGCCTTTTCTGAACCTCATTGAAGTAAGGGCAATATGAATGTAGCTCATTTTATTTAAATGTCTGTCTAAAAAAGTGACATGGAAGCTAATAAGATTTAGTATTTTTGTAATAAGACTTACAGAGTGCCTCCACAGCCATAACCAACGTTTTAACAATTCATCCTGAAGGAAACATGAATATCTGCACCAAGTTTCATCTCAATCCAGCTAATAGTCTTTGAGGCATTTCACTAAAACCTGCTTGTGGCACAAGGTATCACCAACGTTAGTACGCTTTAACTTCTGGCGACCATGAGTATACATTTTTAAAAAATCTCTTATTCAAGATAGAGGTTGAGATATTTCAGTCTGGACCAAAGACGGAACGAGCAACCAGCCACACTGCTAGCTTGGCTAATAACGCACCTGTCTTAAACGTACCTGTCCACGTGCAATGACTGGTTTGAAGCTCACCTTGGAGGAAAGCCACATGTAGAGCTCTTGAGCCCGGCCATTATTTTCTGACACCTGTACACTGAGGGGCTGAGTAACTGGTGTAACTTACCCCGTCTCTCTCACATCCTCTTTTTGTGTCCCTCCTCTCCCGTCCTGTGCTCATGTCTCCATGGCTTCCATCTCTTCCTCTTCCTCCTCCAGCTCCCCTGCTGCCCTCCTCTGACTCAGATCAAAGTTAATGTGCTCTAGTGCTCAAACTCGGGTCGATGCACGTGTTAACTTTGATGCTCATCTTTCTCCTCGCTTTCGCTGTCTCTCTGTCTACCTCTGTTTACACCTCTTGTCTCTCTTTCTCACTTCAGCTGAAACAATTTCTACATCCCTCCATTCTCCCTCTCTTCACCATCTTGGGCTCGACTCTGTTGTGTAATGGTTGTTCATTGGCTGACTTACTCCCTCCCTTCTTCCCCCTTGCCTCCCCTCCACTCACGCTGTCTCTCTCAGGGAGATCAGCCCTGCACTGGGCATGCTCAGTAAACCATCTCACCCTAACACGGACCCTCATTCGCTACGGGTCGGCCGTGGACCTGCAAGACAACAAGGTGAGTTCTGACTGTTTCTTTATCACTATAAGAACCCTGACTTGCATGTTTAAAGCTGCGCATTGCCTGTTTTATTTATATCCTCCAGACGTCACAGACGTATGTTGTTTTTATGTTTATTTCTCTTGTAGGGCGAGACGGCGCTCTTCCTCTCCGCCCTCCATGGTTGCTATGATACGACCAGACTTCTCCTCCTTCACGGCGCCAACCTTGAGCTGCACGATCGGAGAGGACGTCGTCCGACCGACGTGGCCAGGGAGGGCATTCACCACCAGATCCTGGAACTCCTGTTGGCTCACCAAATTCAGAGGGGGCCCGTTCCCGTCGACTCGGCCAATGACATGCTGTGGGAGGAGCGCGCTCTGATGTACTCGCCGTGGGTCGGATCTCAGGGAATGCCCGGAAGAAGTGCCTCCTTCTCTGGGATCATAGCGCATCGAGATATGACGCCACCTCCACAAAAGTAAGGTTTCAGCAAGATGAAACACAACAGAGACACAACCGTGTCTCTGTATCTGCCTTCTGAGTATGTGCCGCCAGATGAATGAGTGAGAAATGTAGCCTATGTTACTGTGTGGCAGTCTAACGTTGTGATGACTCTCTTGTCTTGTCAGTGATTGGTCGATGAGCCGGGTGCAGTACCCCTCCCCTCAGAACTGGCGACCGCAGCTCAACCAATCAGCAACAGCGCTGGTCCCACCGAGAGTCATGGGCCGCTCCCCTCGGCCAATCAGCACCTTGCAGGAGGTGACCTCGGAAGACGAGGATCGTGATAGGCATCAGGAAGTCCCCAGAGCTGCAACGCCTCACTTCCTGTCGCCTCAGCCTGCCCCTCGGCAGCGTTCCTTTTCCTGCACCCAGCATGCATTGCAGCGCCACTCCAGTGTCCACCAGCCAGAGCCCAATTATGTTATTGTGACAGACAGAACAGCCAATGAGCCCATAGAAAGAGTGGTTGTTTCACCTCCCACAGATGCTGCCGCCCAATCGGATCGCCGGCCAGTTGTGATTGGCGACAATCCCAGTAGAGCAGAGCAAGCAGCGGCGAGTTCAACAAATTCAGAGCAGAAATACAGAGGTGAGAGGTCAAACATCATATCGGACTCCACACAAACAGCCTTGTAGAGAAACCAGTAACACAACTTCAGCTGCCTTTCCATTCATCCCAAAAGAAGAGCATCGAAGAACGTGAGATAATGACTTTCAATGAAGCTATATTGAGATCTTAATTATTATTCAATACGCATCTGATGGGTGTGGCCTGATAGAATTCAAACACAGCAGCCCCTCCCCAGTTTTCACTCAGCCTGACCTAAATTATTATTGTTATATTTTTTACTAAGGGGGTTTAATGTCCTTTGTAAATTTTCTGTCAAATAGTTAATAAAGCAACATGTCTGAGATGCCATGTGATGAAGGCCACAGTCACGCTGAAGCTGCCACATCTTGTGAATCTTGTTGCCAGATATTGTAATATATTCACATTGTCTTGACATCTAATGGGTTGTATTCTGATTATTCCGGAAACATTCAAAGAGAAATGATTAAAAAGGAAACATGTGCATGGTTGCACAAAGATGTCAGGATCCTGCTGATTCATGCAATAAAGTGACGTTTCATGCTAACTATATGGATTTTTAATGTTCTTTCCAAATCCGCTTGCATCGTAGTCAGCATAAGTGTTTGCTCAGTTTGACTGATATTATGAATCAGTGGACTTTTCTCATTTTACTTGCAAAACTAATGTTCAATGATCAAACATGAAGTGGAATATCAGGATCATTTTCAAAATACAAGCGATGAATACTACCAAAAAAGTCATGACGAATAAAATTGTGTCATCTTTTTTATTAGGATGACATTATGACATTATGAACAGAGTACAGATGATCAGCCCCGTCGGTGAGATACCCAATCGTAGTAATCAGGTAGGATGGTAGAAAAGCTCCCAGCAACCTGATATACCGTGCTCTGGAAGTCTCCAAAGTTTAGAGTCCCTTTGGTTTGGTGACTGACCGTCCTCAACCAGAGATCTGTAAACCACAGGCTTGTGGCAGCGGTGGACTCCCATGCCAGCAGCCACTTTCCAGAGAAAACGTCCCACTACCCGCTGGTGACTTTAGAGGGATGTCAGATGTCTTATTATTGTGGTCCTCCATTATTTCTGGGTTTTGTATGTATAAATATGATCAGTTCTTACATTTAGACAGCTGGCACCTCACAGCTTGCTTCATACCAGTCTACAATGCGTCACATTCCAACTGGTCACATTCAGCTTCCTTGGTTAAACTTGGATACATTTGAGATTCGGGCCATTAAAACAAAATGGCTGACCTTTTCCTGTGATACTGGTGGTTTTATTGTGGACAAAGTAGCCAAATACACTTTAGAAAAATGTAAGCAATGTTTCAAAATGCACCCAACTTTGAGTGCTATAATAATACATTGTATAAAATATATTAGAAATTATGGAAATAGTCCTGGGTATGTTTTTCCAATCAACAAATTTAACTTTGAAATACAAATATTCCAGAGGGCCTGTTTTTCTGGTTTTATACAGATGTCCAACAAAAGTAAGCCTGACATTTTTTATATGTTTTGAAACGTTATGTATTGCCACTAACATTTTAATTAAAGTTTTTTTGTTCGAACACTTTATGACATAAGATTGTATCTAAACATAGAACAAGAGGCAAACAGGACGGAGAAAAACTTCTGTTGAGCTGTAATTCACACGAATTGATGGGGTTAAATTATGCAAAGCTGGCTCGTGCCTGAATCACACCTGCACGTGCCTATGTAGATCAAAGGGTTGCCAGGATTAGCACCTTTGAATCAAACGCTCTCCCCCAACAACCCACAGTTTCTGGCAAAAAGAGCTTTTCAAAATCGAAATTAGACTCATCGCGGGAATGACATCAATCTTTTTATTGACACTGAACCCCAAGTTGTTCCCCAGACGCGTTACTGCTGCCCACTGCTCCCAATGGTTATGATGGGTGACATGCAGAGGTCAAATTTCATATTAAACCTGTATATATATGTTTAAATATATAGCCTGGCTTCAATCAAGGCTAGGTCAAATTTCTACAGATAAAGAGACGCCAAAAGTTCAAACTCTTTCCCATGGGAAAGGAGGAAATGGTGCTGCATTTACAGCTTTATTGCTTGTTAAAACGGATACATCACTGGAGAGGGGGGCACAGAGAGGAGATACTTCCATCGTTCTCACGCGCATTTGCCGACGATTGAAATGCAAATTAGCTACAGATCGAGAGACTTGCTCGGTTAAAACTGATGCAATTAAATGATCGGGCAGTGTCTATTAAGAACCGTTTTACGCACTCCAAGAATACATTATTTACGCAGCAAATAGCGACTTTGGCCATAACAACAATAAAATATTTACACGGGCAAAACGTTTTTTTCTTTTATTTAAATTAGTAAGATCTGACATTACGCACGGGAGTGGCAACTTTTACGCACGGCTTCCCCTCAAGTTAAAATGATTTATGTAGTTACTTTAGAAATAGGTGTAGAATAATAAAATGCTGACGATATATGAATATAATTATGTAATGTTTGTTAGTTTTTCCAAGTAAAGCAGTGAGGATTAAAGCTCGTTCCACTGTGTGAAACGTCACCGCATGGTGCCTCTCATCCTCACGTGTGTGCCTCAACACAAGTCCACACTTATGCATATGCTCCTTCAAGACACGTGCCAGCAAACAATCAATGAACGCATAGAGTTTTTGTGTTTTTTTCCTTTTGTTTATTTGCAAATGACAAATAGAATAAATTAAAAGGTGCAAAAATACTTCACAATATGTGTCACAATGAACACGAGTCGGCCCGTAAGGGCCGTAGCAGCACTTGGTGTGGTCACAATAGATTTACAATATCAACAAATGGATCAGACTTTACAGAAAGCAGGAGGCCCGAGTTCAATAGATTGCACGTGGGAAATGTCCTTGTAAACGCATGCTCTCATTTTGTGCATATAACTCAGCATATTAGAGTCATTAAAAGTTAATTTTCTGAAGTCACTGCGTGGTGATCAGGGCCACGGCCTCCACATTGACTGGCTGACCTGTTGGCTCTGGGACGGGCTCTGTTTGGTCATTTGACTCGCCACTTCGTGCGGCTGTTGGGGAGTTGATGTGGCAGAGCTATGCGATTCCCCACGGGTCTGAACACAACGTGGTACGGTGGTGAGGGCAGGCGTGCACAGTCTGAGCCCGGATCTCTGTATCAGCAACCGAAGAATGGACCTGGAGGACTTCCTGAGAAGAAGTGAGCCGGAGGAGGAACGAGCTTCGGTTCTTCTTTGGGCACATGCAGAATCAGAGTCTGAACGGGCTCCTTTGGTTCTCCTTTGGACACCTGCAGGGTCGGTGTCTGAGCGGGAAAAGCGAGCGGAAAGAGACGCATCCAGTGCTGCTCCGAGCCACAGGCCTTTCCCCTCAGGTCCCAGGAACTGAGCAGCTCTCTGCAGGCAGGTGGAGAAGCCGTCTTGGAAAGAGTGTTTCTGACCTCCACCACCACCCCCGCCTTCAGCCCTCATCTTGTTTCTTTCAGCAGTGTCCTGCAGGAAGAGGACTGTGTGCTCGAGTATCTCAGCTTTCTCCACTCTGCGCCGAGACGCTTCCTGGGACAGAAACGAGGAGTTAATAAACAGTTTCACAGCCTGCTCAAAAAGGCTGCTAGTTGTCGATGTTGAACAATTAGGCCACTCGAGATTTGTGGTCTTTACCTGTTGCTGTAGCAAAAGAGTCTTCAGGCTCTCCAGGCTGCGGTTCATTCGCTCCCTTCGACGTCTCTCCACCTGAGGTTTGAGACTCTGCGAGACAGAAGAGAGAGTAGAATGAATGAATGAATGAAATGAGACCAACATGTGGAATTGTTTCAGTCTTTTCAACAGTTCTGCTTTTGTCCCAGTCTACGGAGCAATGTGCATCAGACAATACAGATACCAGAGCCTGTGTTGGGCTACGAAATAATCTGAAATATTAGGTGAAGGCATGAATGATACAAGTACCTTTCTGTCGGCCTTTGCGTCCTCTGAATCCTGAAGCAATTTCATGATTGTATTCCAAGAAGCTGATAGCTGCAGCTCTGCCGGCGTTTCAGTCAAAGCTGAATGTGACATCAGAAACGTTTGTGACAGCTTTTATGCCATAGGTGGGCGTAACTTTAGGCTCCACCCACAACCTCTGATCACAGATTTTATTGTACTCCAGGTTTTTCTACTCCATGATTAACGACTTAGTTTAGGTTTTACCAAAGTGGTTTATGTCTTTAAAATGTTCAGCATTACAAGTGAACGGCTGCTTTGTTGTGACTCTTTTTTTCCTGACTGTCTGCTCCAGTTTAAAAGTTAATGTTGGATATTTTAGTGGAAAAGAGAAGGCTTTTATTAAGCACCCTAAAATAAAGTTAGACGTGAAATATGTATGTATTTATTCATTCAATCATACATTGATGTATACGTTCCCCTTTTAAACATTTTCTTAATTGTCTGCTTTTAACACTTTTTGACAAAGATCAATGCGGACTGAACACGCGTCTCGACCCTTCCCTAATCTGCGGGCACGTGCAGCTGCCCCGCTGAGCGTCAGCGGCACGCGCATGTGAAAGGTGTTACCCGCTCGTGTGTCTAGTTTTACATATGTGAGGGGAAGCAATAAACATCCGCCAAAACAGCGTGAAGCCCAGACAAATGACCGTGGGCGACTTCTCTCACCATTATTATGGACGGCCAAACGAGACACGTCCGCAGGCCGACACCGTCAGAAGAAAAGGAGTGTGGAGACGAGAAAACCTTTTGAATAAGCGCCCTTTCACTCACTCACTGATGAATGAGATTCTCATAAATATAAACATCTGCAACAAGGGTGACTGCGGCTTGCGTAAAATCCACTCTTTTATGCGCATGTCCTTACACTGTTGTCTCTCTGTTTGCGAATAAAACCACAAAACGAAGTCAAAAACTACAGCTTAAAGTTACATATATCTTATTTAATTCAAACCATGTTTGTTAATGTACAATCAATCTGCAAAATATGCAGAAAATAGCACCTATGTCGTTAAAATGACCTTTACGCGCGATTCTGCAAATGCAAATAATGAGATTAAAACCAAAAGGCACGTCTCACGATGTCTTTTGGACACGCGTGGGAACCCGAAAGTCACCTCTCCCTCGAACACTCTTTGTTATGATGTATCGATTCTAACACGTAATAAAGTGTGAATGCTGCTCCCTGATCAATTTTCCCGTGAGAAAGAGTTGAAGGAGCAACTCCCACATTTTCACATCAGGACAGTCTCTGACATTCAGTAAACAAAACTGGATCAAGTCGTTGTGTTAACTGTTTTCGGATCATCTACAACTCTCTTTTACTATTTAAGTGTCTAATAATTCCGTAGTTCTCAAGGACAACCGAGATGCGCGTAAAGTATAACCTTTTACGCGCGACACTTCCAATTGACGTGATTATTTACAGTACTAAAACAAAAATGGGAGAAAAATGTTCATAAATGCTCACTCCCAACTCGTCTAACACCACCAACGGTTGGTCGTTCACTGTTACGATTGTTCTGAGTGTCCCACGTCCGTGTGTGGGAACCTTAGAGCCACCTCTCCTCCAAGCACATTTGTCAACGAAGTATCGGTTTTAACAGGTAATAAAGTGAGACTGAAGCCTGTTGCTCCACGTTCCTGATGGGAAAGAGCTGGGGGTCGCTCTCCCACTGTCACACTTCAACACTTCTGCATTTGCCATTTCGACTTAAGGCCGTTTGTTTATATATTTATTGACTTTTGGCTTGGAGAACATGTCCACTTGCCTCATTCTCCTCACAGCATCATAACAGTTTATCTCCATGCACATTGCTTATTTAAGCAGTTTGTTTTGCAGTGATGGAAGAAGTACTCAAATACATCGAGTAAAAGTCAGCAGAAAATACTTGAATCATCAAAGTAAAAGCAGGTTCGGTAGTAGGCCTACAGTGTCCCCTGTGACTGATGTTTATGATATTAGATTTTTAAATTGACAGAGCAACGTGAAAGCAGCATTTTACTGTTGTAGCTGCTCGAGGTGGAGCTAGTTCAAGGTAGTTTAGTCCAGTGGTTTCCAACCTAAGGGTCAGGAACTTCTTGGGGTCACCAGATAAACACGAGGGGTCAGGAGATGATTAATTGTAAAGCAAAGAACAAAAAATAACTCTGCAACACAAATATGTAATATTTTGAATTCTCTCCACACTTTTTTTTGTATGGGAAAATGGATAATAATAAATGATCATTTTACTTTTTGGGGCCTGAAACAGTTATTCAAATGTAGCCATCTGAAAAGTTAAGAGAGGAAATCATTGTTTTGTGATAAAAGGCCCCAAGCTTTTTTAAATAAGGAACACAAGCCAAATGGATGGGAACCACTGGTTTCATCTAAAAAATGTGTTGTGCTTTATAACCTTATAAAACAATCTTTCCCTCTGAAATGTATGAAGTATACGCCTTAACATACAATGGATACGAGTGATTTAGGTGCTTCATAATTTTACTCTTATATTTCTTGAGTGAATACCAAACTACAACAACTAGACTATAAAATATAGACTTAGAATAATAAATACCTTTGACATTATTAGGGCTTGTTTAGCTTATGGTTACATTTTGCTGTTTGATTTTAGAGTTTATTTATCACTCATCGGTTAAGAACTACCGTATACTGTCTTGAATAACTTTTAATTTTAATTTCCTTTTTTAGATGCAGGAACAAATGTCTCTTTGTTATTTGACCCTAAACGCTGATTCACTAAAGCCATTTGAGGCCCACACGTGCAGCAGCTCCGGCAGCACGCGACCACATCACACCTGATTCAAACACGTGCCAGCTGAAAAGCACCTCAACAGACTGAATTCTTTACAAGCACAACTGCAAGTTCTTTTTAAAACACGTTTGTACATTAGAACAACTCTTACTTGTCAGTCCCGTGGAGACATATAGAAAAATAATCTTTCAGCTGAGTTTATGTATACCAGGTTGTATATTGCTTATTTATCAGCCATATTTTGGCACGTGCCTACGCCTTTGTTGGGAAAGACGTGATACAAATGTCACAGAAAAGGTAGAAATGTCTTTTTATTAACTTAGATGAATAAAAACCGCAGTATGTGTTCACGAGACACATCAACACGCTGAGGCTTGATAGAGACTTAACACCGAGTCAGCGCACTGAAACATTTGTGACTAACGAATATGTAAAAGATGTCAAACAACGGGGACAACCTCGGCGCGTGATTTGCGTCTGAGTGACCAGTGTGTGTAAAGTGAGTGCGTGGGAACCTGAAAGCTCGCAGTCCTCCACACACTTCTTTTATTGACGCACTAATACTAACAGATAATAAAAGTGCAAATGGGGGCGCGTCACTCTCTTGTTCCCACGAGAAAGAGACAGAAAAGCGTCTCCCGTGTTGTCTCACATCAGTGTCGTAACGTCAGACTATAGGAATTGCGGTTGTCTGCCAATACAGTAAATATCAATGAATAAAAGTCACATTTTTAAGGCAATATTTTACTGAACGAGCATATAGAACTTCATCTAGTTTGGATTTGTTTACATTTAAGTACGTTTTAGTTTGCAGGCTCTAATGACAGGCCAAAATATAATTGAATATGATTTCTGGGCTACTCGTCACCAAACTGGTGGCACATAATTCTGTGTATTGATAACTAACTGGACAGTCACAGATGTTTTTTTGTTTTTTTTTAACAAAACGTGTTATGTCGGTGTCAAACAATCCTGATCAACAATCATACAGCTTTAACCAGACAAAAGTCCTGTTAGTGTGACTGAACTTCAAAGGGCTGCAGGTCACGAGGTGTGAAGACACGTTTGGTGTGGACTTACACCCGACACGCGTAGAAAACAAATGGCCTGTGAGCAGCTGGGGGTCGACGCATGAATACTAATTAATATGAAAACGCACGTGGGCATGAGCTAGAAGGGTTTTTCAGATTATTCAACCTCATCCCGTCAGGTAACAGGTGTGGTAAAGACAAGGGATTTGGATAAAGTGAAGAAGACAAAGCAGTGAAATGTTGTGCTGTAGAATTCTGAAGAGGTTTAACAGGCCCTCTGCAGTTACATAGCCAATGTATCATCATTTTTTCTATGAAATTACATATAAGAAATCATATAACAAGGTATTTTTTCAGAAACAGAACAAGTTTGGTCAGACTTCTTAAAGAACATAACGTGTATGGCACACTGTGTCAGGGCTGTAAACTGAAGCTAAATCTGGATTGTTATATGATGTAATTTGCTTCTTTTTGAAAACAAATGTGGTAAACTTTGCACAGACTGCTCCAGGCTATATTATCTTTTATTATCTTTTTTTTAATGTATTGGTTTAATCTCAAAAGGCATTCAACGTGAGTGTGTGAGCAGGGCTATCTTTGATGTCTTTGAAGTGAAAGCTGCTACTGAACTCTTTCGCCTCATGGCCAGACTTCACACCTGGAGGATGTAGCTCTGCAGGAGGCCGTGCTTCACACCGCCCACTGCAGCTAAAAAGAGCTGTCACCGTCAGCGCAAATAAAAGAAGGCCTGCAGCTTGCAATGAAAAGAAATAAATAATTGAATACGATGCTTTTTTCCATTTTAAGAAAGGTCTTTATTTTATTATAATAAAAAAAAAAAAGAGAATAATTCTCACCATAGGGAGACATCCAGAATAAATTAGTGTGCAAAATAGACAAGATATATATTTAAGGGGAATAGATGTTATTCACAGAGCAGCAGGTGTCATTGATGCCAGCAGACATCGTGGCACACAGGTGAATGTGAGGGGCTGCGTGGGGCTCACCCAGCCTCCAACCCTGAGGTCCCACACCTGGAAATGTGATGGATGGACACTATCCACTTCAGTATCTTCGAATCGTGACTGCAGATGTATAGAGCAGTACATGAAGGACAGAGACCAGTTGAGGATACTCACTTGCTCTTAAGCACAGCAGCAGTCCCAGCTGGACACCGTGATCCAGCTCACGTGTGTCCCTGGTTTGGGAGAGTCCCTGTGCAGTTAGCAGAATAGATGGCTGCCCCACTGTCTGCGCTCGTTCAAAGGCATTAAACAAGAGTAGTGAGTCCAGCCCATCACACATACAAATAAAATTACAAAATACATTATTTACAGGCTTTGAGGTTGTGGTTGAACACCAACACCGTTATGAGTTATCAAAAGTCCAGAGGCCATTTTTTGCAAGGATGCAATGCACATATTCATTCAGGAAGAGTACAGTTGGCCCCAGTGAATGTTAAACAGTTGTTAGAGTCATCAAATGTTCAGTTTCAGAGGTCACGGCCTGCTGATCAGGGCCAGGGCCTCCACAAAGTCTGGCTGACCGGGCTGCTCTGGGCCGGGCTCTGTTTGCTCGCTCGTCTCATCTCAAGCATATTTTGTATCTGAGCCTGTTGGGGAATCGTGGGAAACCCCTGCTGGACTGGAAGCCGGTACGGATGAGTGACGCTGAAGTCAGTTGTGCGCGGTCTGTGCTTGGACTTGTGCCTCAGCACCCGAAGAATGGACTTCGTGTGCGGCAGAGAGCTGGAGGACGAACGGGCTCCTTCGGTTCTTCTTTGAACACCTGCAGGGTCGGAGTGGGAAAAGTGAGCGGCAAGAGAAGCATCTAGTGCTGCTCCGAGCCACAGGCCTTTCCCCTCAGGTCCCAGGAACTGAGCAGCTGTCTGCAGGCAGGTGGAGAGGCCGTCTTGGAAAGAGTGTTTCTGACCTCCACCCTCATCACCACCACCATCAGAAGACGAAGACGAAGAAGAAGCAGCAGAAGAAGCTCTCGTCTCGTCTCTTTTGGCAGTTTTTTGCAGGAAGAGGACTGTGTGCTCGAGTATCTCAGCTTTCTCCACTCTGTGCTGAGTCCCACCCTGCATGGAAACATCAGTATGTGTTAATGGAGTCTGCTGGCAGTAAGAGGCCTGGATGGTACATAATGGTATAATAATTTCACCATTCTAAACATTCTTTATCTTAACATATGCAAATGTTTAAATGTTTAAATTAAATGTTATTTCTTTTCCCTATATACGAGTGCCCTCAAAGGTTGTTTTTTTTACCATTTGTTGTGGCTCTTGAAGCAACATTGTCCTCAGACACTCCAGACTGTGGTTCATCCTCTCCCTTCGACGTTTCTCCACTTGAGATTTCATGACCTAGAAAGAAAGGGATTAAAATGTTGTGGGTATGATGCAAAAGTACAGCAGTGGAAAATTGAATGAAATTTACTTTGATTGAAAAATGTTCTTCCAAGCTTTAAGGATTTTGTCTGGGACACTTTCAGCCATCTTAATATCCAAGCCATCAAAATAGCAGTTGTTATCTATACTCTATACAAACACAAGTTAGAACATGCATTGAGAATTATTTTTACCTTTCTTTCGTTTGTTGCATCCTCTGGTTGCTGTAACAGTTTCATTGTAGACAGAGGTCCAGTCGGTCTGTCTTTATCCGGTTCCTTCACAGTGAGCAACTGATAAGGCAATGTGGCTGGTGTACCGGGCTGCTTCTTTTACCTCCTCCAAGTCGGTCCATCAGATTCCTCCTCCTCCTTCCACCACATTTTACAATCGCACCCACCCACAGCAGCCGACCACCCCTCCCCTCAGCTCCTCCATGTCATAGTTTGATTTTATTTTCGGTTCTTTGAATTCAATTAAATTTACTTATTTTACAAATCCCTGATCTGAAGAATCTATTTCACCTTGATGCAAAAAAAAAAAAAAAAAAAAAAATCAAAAGCATTTGTGTACCATATGAGGTGAATAAGTCGGCACTTAAATCCATCTCTTAAGCTGGTTTATTAATGCACCAGAACCGGCGACATCTTCTGTCCATGTTGACATATCTGGTGTCAACTTGAGCAATTATAGACTACGTATTATCATGACAAAAATAATTTATTGTTCTGCTCGTCAACATCCCTTTTGAGAGGTTATTTTCAGTCTTTCTTTCTGAACTCCGCGCTCACTTGCGGCATGTGCTGACACCTTGCCGTTCACACTTCACGCCTTTGCATTTGTTAGTCGGTTAACCTCTTTGCATTGACACCTCAGTGTCACAATAGACCACGCGTGCCTTTTGGGCATCTGTCTCGTGCTGGCGCCCCGTTTAGCAGCGCAGCAGTTGTTCGACATTTGCTCGTGGAAACCCTTTGATGTCACCAGGCGACCGTGGGAAAGCCGAGAGACAGTGGCGACGCACACGTGGCAGCTTTTTGAACAAGTGGTCTGAGCCTTCGGGGGCCCTCAGGGGTCCTTTGAGGATGTCGATTAATTAACAGCCTCGATTGTATTATAGCTGGAGCACATGAATTCTGCAGCTACTCCACAAGATAACACACATCTACTCTAGAAAAAAAGTGGTATTATACGTTTCCAGTTCCACCGCATGAGGAAACACAATCAGTTTGAATTTTAAGTTACTGCCATGTGTAATATAGGCTTGCTATGACTTTGTGTATATTTAGTATATTGTGTGCATTTGATTTGTCGGTTTATCTTATTTAAGGCGCTGGCCAGGGACAACAAATTCTCCTTTTTGGCTATCACAGTTCTTTATGTGCATCACTATCTTGTTAAATAAACAAATTAAATAAAAAGTGATTTAAGGAATAGTCACCATGTCAGCACCATATTAACTACATGTTCAAATGAAAAGTGAAACTACATTTTGACACAGAACCGCTCCATCCAACAGGGTGAGAAGATCAGATAATCATACAGTCTACCGGACGACATGTTGTGCTTTAGTGGTGCAAATTCTCCAACACATTTAAAGTCAATAATATAACTAAAACCGTAAAGTCTTTTGGGCAGTTTCCCCACTTTATAGTTCAACTTTGCACCAATACAAATACAATCACATGCTGTCCAGTTTTCATCATTTACCTCTTCAATATAAAAGGTACTTACAGAGAAAACAGTTCACAACGAGAGCTGTGGCTTATCCAGCATCAGAAATCAAATTCCAGTCACCTCAATTGTATTGAGGGGGGGGGGGACAGGCAAACACTCCAAAACTATTGGGAGGTAAAGTTGTGTAACTATGGTGAACCAACACTGCTCGTTTATACACTTCAAGCCTTTTGACCGGTTACACAAATCTGGAGCGATCACCATCTAGTTGTGAATACAGAGAGTCTTTATTGTAAAAGAGGTAGAGAGAATACAGGTGTTTCACTGTACAGAAAAAAGACAGCACTGTTGATATGCTCATTCAAACCACTGATATGGACTCACACACACACCTCATCCATTTTACAGGGACACATCAGCCCGGTAGAAAAACAAAACAAAAAAACTAACAAAACAGAGAAACAAACGCACAAAATCTTTGGATTTTTCTCTATTTCCCTCTCATTCACTGAATGCATTCTCTCTTTCTGAGCTGTTAAAATGAAAATAGTTGTAGCATTAATAATAAAACAGCAATAATATTAATAATAATAATGATATAGTGTGCTAAAAACAATAATAATGCTGTGCCCGTCCTCCCCTCCCAACCACAAACACATCAGTAACATGTCAAAATTAGTGGAAAACAAACCCTCCTGATAATAAAACCACACCTGCATGCATGCATACACACAACACACACACACACACACACACACACACACACACACA